AAATGCAAATCAAAACAACATTGAGATACCACCTCACCCCAGTTAGAATGGCTATAATCAAGAACTCTAATAACAACAGATGCTGGAGGGGATGTGGCCAGAGGGAACCCCACTGCATTGTTGGTGGGAGTGTAAACTTGTTCAACCCCTTTGGACAGCAATATGGAGGCTCCTCAAAAGACTCCACATAGAGCTCCTCTATGACCCAGCAATCCCACTTCTGGGCATTTACCCAAATGATCACAAACAAGGTCATACTAAGGCTACCAGCACAACCACATTTATTGCAGCATTATTTAACATAGTTAAGATATGGAACCAACCCAGATGCCCCTCAGTAGATGAATGGATCAAGAAAATGTGATATATATACACAATGGAATTCTATTCCTCCATCAGAAAGAAAGACATCGCCCCATTTGTTAGGAAATGGAAAGACTTGGAAAAATTATATTAAGTGAAGTAAGCCAGGCCCAAAGAAACATAGGTCCCATGGTTTCCCTTATTTGCAATAACTTATACATGTGCAGGACAAGCAGAAAAGGCCAAAAGCTATGTACATCTGACCATATAAGAAGCAAAATGAATCCCAAGATAGGGACACAAATACCTTTTTTCTTTTGTGCTATTGTTTCTAACTTATTTATAATGCGCCATGTGATTTTTTTTGTTTCTTTGTATGTTCCTCCATGATGGTATAACCTCTCTTTTCACTGTATTTGATGTCGGTGCCCTGAATCTTGTATATACACTTCTCTAATTCAGGGAGGGAAAGGGAAAAAACAAAATGCTTAAATAAGGATACAGGTTGATCCATTGTAACAATGAGATGTACAAAACAATATGTTGAAAACAAACTTTTTATAACTTTGGTGGTGGAGGAGGGGTGGGGTAGTTGTGGAGGTGGGAGGAAAGGGATGGTAGGGAGGAAAACATGAGGCAACAATGCTCAATAGGAAATGTACTCATTACCTTGCTCATGTAACTGTAAGCAATCCCTCTTTACAGCATTTTTACAGTAAAAAACATATACAAAAAAGAAACATTTGGTTTTGTATTTGTTTTTTTCTTTAAAGTTGGTGAAATATATAGCAATTTTAAGATAGACTACATAAAAATAACTTCAAATAAATGATTAATCCAGAGCAAATAGCTACACACATTATAATGATAGTAACTGATCTCTTACTTTCTCTAACTATACAGACCATCCAAATATCACAATCTGTTAGAATTGATTGCAAATGTTTGCAATTGATTGCAAACTATTTGTTAATAAATGGACTCTGAGTATACATAAATAGTTACTCTTTGAAATGAACTCATAGGATAGCCTACTAGAAAATAAAAATTTTTTATAGTGATTGTTTGGGCACAGCTATGTTTAAATATTCTTACCAATTCTCATTTTTATTTTGGCCAGTAACATGATATGAGGAAGATACATGTTTTTCAAAGGTTCTAATGGATTTGCATATTCAGTGCTTGATGAAGGATATTCAATTGTTTCTCCAAAAGTTAACATCTATGAAAGAAAGTTGTAATAAGCAATCAGTCTTCATGGTCTGAAATAAGAAAAAAGGCAGAAAAGCAAATTTCTAAATCTTGTATCTCACCTGTTCAATAAGAATGTGGTGAGCCTGCATCAAAAGAAATAATTTGTCTGGTTTTGACGAAGGATTTTCCTTGAATTTCCTAGCTTTTGTTAAGTCATCCAGTAGAACTAGGCTTCTTGCCAGGGTTAACCAAGACCGAGGAGAAATAAACTCATTTCCTTCAAGCAAATGTATTATATCCTATTAAAATGAAATGATTCAGTTTGATAGTGCCTTTTCTAATTCATAGAAACAAGAGCTGGCATATTCGCTGTTATACATTCAGTACCAAATGGGATTTAAAATTCTCTCATGTGGTTTTAACTGGAATATTTCCCAAGAATAAATTGAACAAGGTTTCCTTCCTACCTGAAGATTTCTTATAATGTCTGCTTTTAAATGCTTTTCTTGTAGGCCCAGCATCACAGCTTGCATTAAGAATTCAGCCTCTAACTCTTTGTTGCCTGCATTTTTTGCTTCCATACACACTTCATTGATGAGGCTCATACAATCTGTCATGTCATTTTCTAAAGAAAAAAAAAGCATGATTATTTAAGATGCATTTAGAAATAAGATAGTATGTGTACATGGTATCTCTCCAGTGTTTATTGTAGGTAGATTGTCTAAGGTCAAAAAGCAAAAGGACATTAGAATAAAAAAAAATAGACTTGACATGACACATGGAAAAGAAGTGTGTTTAATTCAAAGTGAAGTTTTTAAGGATATTCCAATGTTGTATGAGTAGTAATATTACATGAAATAATTTAATTTAGGAGCTGAATGGAGATGAGTAAATAGCTATACAAATAGGAAATTATGGGACTGCGAATGTGGCTTAGTGATAGAGTGCTTGCCTCATATGTATGAAGCCCTAGGTTTGATTCCTCACATAAACAGAAAAAGCCAGAAGTGGCCCTGTGACTCAAGTGGTAGAGCACTAGCCTTGAGCAAAAGCAGCTCAGGAACAATGCCCAGATCCCAAGTACAAACCCCAGGACTGGAAAAAAAAACAAATAGGAAATTATTACTGCAAAAGCTATCATTTATATGTGCCAAGGTATTATCTAAAAGTATTAACTCATTTGATTCTGATAATCATAGGAAGTAGGAACAGCTACCTCTATTTTCCAGATTAGGAAATTGAGGCACAGCAAGATGGAAAGACTGGCTAAAAAAGAAAGACTTGACAAGGAAGTAGCCAATTCAGCATTGAACTCACATTGCAGGCCCCAAATCTACGCTCTTGCCCTATATAATTGGCTACCTTCCTAAAAGATAGGAGACCTGGAACAGTTATAATCACTTTGCTGTCTATCAGTGCTATATATGTATGTCCACTGATACAAACAATGCTAGAAATGTTTATTCTTAGTTTAACAACCTGAATTTTTAATTCTGGACACAGTAGGAAGTTATCAAACATAAACATTATAACTGAATAATTCCCAATAAAATTCTCGTTACCAACAAAAGTTTATTATGAATACACAAGAAAACAGACACTCGTACCTTTCACAATTCCAATGCCACGAATCTGGGCAACAAATGCAGTCACCAGGGCTAAGCGGCACCTCAACCACAGATGGATGTTGAAATGTTCTCGAGCATTCAGGGAAACAGGATCTAAAAACTCATTCTCATCTTCATTCTCTGTGACCTAAACAGTATTAAAGTAATGAGGTTATCTTCTCATTTAATTATGTCAAATTTCTAGCCTAAGGCTAGACCCAAGGTAAGAGAAACATTGGTATTATTTCATAGTATGAAATTTTTATTATAGATATTATTCTTACATCCTCTAAAATAAATATTAAACAAATAAATAAAATCACCCACTATTCTCCAAAACTCTATTAATATTTCATACTACTTTTTAGCTTTGCTTTTCTTTCCATACAGATTGTTAAAACTAGTTTTGTAGTTCGATTTTTGTGCAAATTATATTATTGGAAGTTTTCATGGCATTAAATTTTGTAAATATAACTCTGTAAATATAACTTAAGGGATGAAAATAATAAATAATAATCGACAATCTTTACTGAGTGCTCATTATGTGCCAGGCACTTTGCTACATGCTTTATCCACATCTCTTTTAGCCTTCCTAACAGGAAAAGAGGGTTATTATTTCCATTTTTCAGCATGGAGAACTGAGACTAAAGAGGATAACCATCTTGTTTAAACTAATCATGTTTTGGCAGAGCAGGGATATTAACTTGCTTCCACCTGAGTTTCAAGTTTACTGTGTTATATTTCAAATATATATCACGACTTTTACCATGCTCGTTACTAAACTTTACAAAGTAGATAAAAGTCTAGAGCTACTGGGAAGGTAATACAGAAGAAGTTTTCTCTAAGGGAGGTCAACTGGCTCTTGGGAACTTCAAAGTCAACCAGAACAAATCTAATTTTTCTAGAATTTCTTGCTATGTGTCTCTGGAAGCTCATCAGGTCCAATCAATCAGCAATGCCTGTCTGTGTAGGAACAGATTACTAGGGACTAACAGATGGACAAAAGTGAAATGGACAGGAAAAGGATGCTGTTCTGGGAATGAAAGTACACGTACTTTCATAATTAGAATGTGCCAAGTGCTTGAGGAGTCTAGTATTTAGCAAAACTACAGAAAACATGCCCATCAATAAAAAATCTGTCCAAATGTACATTTTTGGCAACTAATGAAAAGCCAATCCCACCTCATCTCAGGATTTCTCAAACTTAGAGCTCTGTCTGCCATTTTCAGCCAGATAATTGCTGGGTGGAGGCTCTATTCCACATTATAAGATGTTCAACAGCATCCCTGGCTCTATCCAGTAAGTGCCAGAGGCACCCGTTCTAGTTGTGACAACCAAAATGTCTCCAGACATTGTCAAAATGTCCCCTGAGAGGTAAAATTACTTCCACTGACAATAGCTATTTTAAGTCTATTTTCTGAATTAGATTGCTTTTTAGTATTGTTATTACTTTTAATATAGTTAGAAATGAGTCTCTATTTAGAAAAAAATCATTTTGCTAATTTGTAATGGTGCTAGATATTAGAAATTTCATTAGTAATTTTTGAAGTAATGAGCAAGAATTCTTTGGGATGAATCTTTTTATATTATAATCTTAATAAATCTTATATTGTTAAATTAAGTAGTCTTATCAAAGCGCAATCATGGAAGGTGTGTCCAGTTCACAAATCCAAAGTAAGAAATAACTCAGGTATCTTATTGGCAATGGCTGGGTAATAAATTCAAAGTGAATGTAGAATGAGACTTGGGAGACAATGGTATTTGCAATGACAACATAGCTAGACTTTCTACAATGATATATCTTGATGATTATTATATACAATTGTGTCAGGTCACAAATGAGACTACAAAAAAAAGAAGAGATTTTTTTTCTCAAAGTATTTTAGTCACTAAGTAGCATCAATGGGATTGAAACACACATTTTTCCCCAATTTCCCTGTTTTTACTACTTTATTATCATCTAAAGAATTATTAATTCTATAGTATGCCAAGTTATTTGTATTTGATGAAGAAATAAACTTTTATGGATAAAAGTTAAAATTTTATACATACAGAATTTGATGAAGAGACAGGAGTCTCTTTGTCATCATCTACTGCCTTCTTTTTAAAAAGTTTAGAATCTTGGAGAAGGTTAAGTGTGGAGCATAGTATTGCAGCACTAAAATTGAGAAAATATGTTAGATGTTATTGGCATGCTTGTAATATTTATATGTTCTTTCCTAAGTCTAGTCTTCCAAGAAACTTCCCACACCCACAACTATTCTCAAAAGGAAAGTAGGTGCTGCTTATACATGGATTAATGGCACCCTGGTTTTACCAGGTATTTTTCAGACTGACTTAGCACAATGCACAGGTCTACAGCTAATTCGTTTTACTCCCCATTGAACCTCTCCATCTAGTAGAGTGGGACCTAATAGAAAATATTTTTAACTTTGTTTTATTCTATTTTGTGTCAGTACTGGGCATGAACTCAGGACCTGGGTGCTGTCCCTTACCTTTTTCTTTCAAGACTGGTGCCCCACCATTTGAGCCAAAATTCCACTACCAGTATTCTGGGAGGTTATTTCAAGATAAGAGTCTCAAATAGTTTCATGCCTGAAATCTCAGCTTCCTGAGTATCAAGGATTACAGACATGGGATACTAGTGCCCAAGCAGAAAGTATGTTAAATGAAAACAAGAGAGCAAAAGAAAACAAGTGAAATGAAAGAATAAGTAAGCCAGAAGCTTGGCTTGGTGGCCAAGTACCTGCCTTGCAAGAGTAAGGACCTGAGTTTAAGCACTAGTACTGTCAAAAAAAAAAGGAAGACATTAATAAATGTTTCCAAGGGCTAAAATCAAATTTATTGAAAACTTCATTCATAAAATGAGCAGATCAGAATTTATATGCATTAGAATGTAGTCCTCCAGACATATGTTGATTGATCTTGTACCCTTGGAAATTCTTCAGCTGAATTGCTGCTGATTCAGAATCTGCAAGATCCAGAAAGTAAATGTACCTGTTCAGAAGTCAGGAGACATAATTATTTTTACTTCCTGATGTTGCATTCATATATTTGCCCCTCTTTTTATAAAGCCACTAATCCCATCATTAAAGCCTCACTTTCATAAGGCCATCAAATCCCAATTACTTCCCAAAGGCCAAATCTCTAAATATTAATAAAAGCATATGCCTTTGACCACTTGGATTCTATGGGACATTCAAACCATAGTAGGTGCATAGTAGAAAATTTCTAGTTTCTTGCTACTCTTGAGTGTACAGAGGATTACCCATGGCTAACAGTCTAAAACCTCAAAGAGAGTTTCATTATGATATAAAATTGAAAGGCTTAGAATTTTCTGATTTAGATAATAAATTAAATGTAAAGGAGAATGAGAAGAAACATTTTTTAAAGTTTGGATTCTAAAAGAGACAGCCCAGAAAGTATTAGATATACCATATGAATAACTTTGATCTCATTTATTTCTTATTAACATTCATGACAAAAATGGTCAGTTTGTTCTCATAAAATCCATGCAGCTCACTCTACTTGTCACCCCAGGGAATGTGCCTTTCAATTTCTTTGACACATAATTTTATTAGAAGTATCAAGAAATGTCAAGCTAACCATCATTTGGAAAAGGGATTGTCCAACACTCTCAGCAGTGCCCAAACAAAAGCTCATGGGGGGTAAAGTTCACAGGAGAAAAACTCATTCATCTTGACAGTAGGTTTCTCCCCAATGACAACTCTGCACCAGAAAGGCAGGAACATCAAAGTTTCTGCAGGTTCTGTCCCTAGGGCCAGGTTCACATATTAAAATAGGAGTGATTCTAATATGCTTGTGCATTATTTGCATGTCTACCTAGTCTTTAAATTAAAAGTTCTATTATGACAATCCTTTTTGAAGCCATTTTGTAAGTTTTAGTTTCTCAAATCTTTTTACTTCCTAAAATAAAAATCAGTTATATCCTCCATAACATAAAGGTATAAGACACCATAAGACAGCAGGAGAAAGAACGAAGGCCAGTGTGTGTGTGTGTGTGTGTGAGAGAGAGAGAGAGAGAGTGAGTTTGTGTTTTCTTGGGATATTGTGGCTGTCTTATAGAGAGTTTGGAGAAAGAGTTCAATAGGAACTAGCTTTACAACATCGGTGGGGGGGAGGGGGGAAGGAGAAGGATTGGGATTTGGGGGGGAGGGGGGAGGCTGGGAAGTGATGTGAAGGGTAAACAAAGGAG